ATAAGTGGCAGCGGCACAACCCACACGGATATTGCGATCGGCCATCATAACAGTGAAGTGACCAATTTGACTAAAAACATGAATTTAAAATAAATAATTTTCAATATGTAAATTATGCCTTCAACTTACGGTCCCTTGTAGCCCTTAGGGAACTCATTGAGATATTCCATTTTAACATCCTTAACTTCATTATACCACATGTCAAAGGATTTTTGGAAAAGTGTGCTATAACTTTGCTGGCCCCAGAATGAACGCCAAGCCAAATTCTGACCAGCATATCTAAAGGTTTCTGTATTGCGACACTTGTCATGAGCCATTTTACATTTGAGAACATTGTAGGCAGCAACAGCAGCCAATTCATCATCCCATTCCATGGTGGCCATACGACAAGCAGGTTCCAGACCATTTACTCCACCTCCGGCAACCAGATTACGTTTTTCATTGTGCGCTCGGACAATTTCTTCTTTCAAAGTGTCATCGATTTTTACAAAGGCAGCATTGGATGGACAGGTGTCGAAAAATTCCTACAATTGAAAAATTGGTCATTATTATAAGGATAATGCTTCGCGCCAATGTTAAATTTGACTTTTTCGGATATATAAAATCAGGTTTTATAAGTTGCTTAAACCACACAATCTTTGATAAAATATCCTAGGAGCATTTATTCCAACTCACCTTCTTCCCACAGGCAACATGTGTTACGCCTTTACTACATAACTTGGCTGAACAATAATCGGTGGCCAAAGCAGAGGCAATGCAGGTGCCGACAATTAAAACTATGATTAACTTATTCATTTTCTTGCTATAAAGGCTGTTTGTAATTCACACTCTGGATGGTGATGAACTTATAGTTATCTGTCAGAAATGCTCTTCTTAAATACTAAAAGACTGTCAAATATCTTTGTTTTATATCAAGGTCATTACAACTTATGCTGATAATAGCATGTAAATATTACAAATTCAGGTGTTTCCCAAAACCAATTTGTTACCCTATGTTTTATTATTGTAAATAAATGTTACGAAGGCTTATCTTAGCTATCCAAAGCGTGATTTTTGTCTGTTTATATTTTCATAGAAAGATAAATATTTACACTATATGTAACATTACACATTTAATGATAACCAAAATTTTAATTTTATAACTTTAATATTATTTCGAAATCGTTGGGTGTATGAAAGGTGTATCCACCGATCTAATTATTTTCCAAAAAACGAGTTATGGGATTGGCAAGAGATAAATTTTGCTTCAAATTTGATAAGTAGACCTCGATAAGTTCTGACCCAAATGTATATCCCTACAGTAGTGAGGATATTATAAGCATTTGTACCCCCACGAAAGCTGAATCGTGTCCATAAAAAATATCGTTTAGTTTGCATCGGCCTACGTTTTGGTGTAGCTCCCATATAACGGTACCGCTGCAATTTCCGCACGACATATTTAAGTTCCTCGTTTAAAAACCAGTAAGGAAAGCAGTAAAGTCGGACTGGGCCGACTATATGATACCCTTCAACACTATGGATAGGATACATGTGTACAATGTATCCTTACAATTGCTTGTCAATGATCCTTGGAAAGAACATAATCATGTCTCTCAGCAACCTATGATAAATTTAATTTCATTCGGGTAGATTTAGATTGGTCTGTTTCGACTATTTGTAGCAAACTAGAAATACGCTATTCGGTTGCCACACTGTAAAAAAAAATTATTTCAATCAGACACCCGTTCGAAATACATATGGAAGTTATGGCAGCATCTGCATCAATTTCAACAAAACGCAATAACATTATTCAAGTCTCAATTTGATAAGTTGTGCAAAATTTCGTGTTAATCGGAAAACATTAGAAGGTTGGTGCATCAATTATGTCAAATCGGACGAAAATATATGTATATGTGGGAGCTATATCGAAACCTGAACCCATTTTTCAGAAACTTAACACATATTATTCCAGACTCAGGATATATAGGGACTTTGGTGTACCATTTACATAAAATCGGACGAAAATATATATGGAAGCTATATCGAAATCTGAACCGAATTTCCTGAAACTCACCACTCATCATTCTAGACTCAATTCATTTCGTGCAAATCGAATTATATATATATATATATCTAATTATGTCTATATCTAAATCTGAACCGATTTTCAAATTTAACATACTTCGTTCTAGACTTAATTCAGTACGCTATGCCAAATTTCGTGCAAATCGAAGGGTATATAGGGACTTTAGTGCACCATTTACATAAAATCGGACGAACATATATATGGGAGCTATATCGAAACCTGAACCGATTTTCCCGAAACCCACCACTCATCATTCTAGACTCAATTCAGTACACTATGCAAAAAACAGACGGATAGACCGACGGACGGAGATGCATAAATCGACTTAAAAAGTGATTCTATGCATATTCTCAAAAGGAACCATGTGTCTATCTCGTTTCCTCTTCATGTGCAAAAAGACATATTACCCTGTACCACAGTGACGTCTGTTAGGATACATCTGTTAATTATACCTTTACTACTTTCCTTATTGTTTTTATACCCTACACAACTATTTTGTCAGGGTATTATAGCTTTGTGCAGCCCCAAGAGTTTGTAATTCCGCGAAATATTGGTCCTAGACCCACCTTTAAGTATACCGATCGTCATATCTCGACTAGCTGAGTCGATCTAAACATGTGTGTCCGTCCGTTCGTCCGTCTGTCCATTATAATTTGTAAACACGATACAGGCCACAGTTATGGACCAATCTTCACCAAATTTTGTAAGTAGTATGAATTCGGCCCATTGAAGACCCCTATTGTTTTTGGTAAAGATCGGTTAATATTCAGGGGATGAAATGGACCAAACACTTAATTTTTGTCGGTTTTTCTGGTCACTCCAGAGGCCGCAGTTATGGTCCGAACATCATGACATTTTACATGGAGAAGGGGATCGGGCCAAGGAATAAACATGCCTGTTTTGATAAAGATTGGTCCTGAAGGACATATATATATAGTTGATAGTATATCCAAGATGAGTTGTTGACCTTCACATTGATATCATTGTTGACCTTCACATTGATATTATGAATTATATAGCTGTATGTACTCTGATGTGGGAGTTATACGTAACTAGGTAAATGTGACTATGTGCATTGTATTACTATTACTCCATTAGAGGACGGAAATGTCGCGCTGATCGCTTTGAAATTGTACATGAAGTTCCGATTATGGTCAAGGACGACGCCTATAGTTTTCTGTGAAGTCGAGATTTCATTCAGGGGGTGCAATGAACAGAAAACTTTAAATTTGTCTGATTTTCTAGTTGCTTTAGAGGCAATTATTATATGCAGAACATCACATATTTTACAAGGTGAAGGGGTTGATGGTGGGTGATGATCGGTCAATATTCCTAAGGGTCAAATCAACCAAAAGCTAAAGTGACAAATTTTTTATTTTATGGCGTAAAAATTCACTTCAAGAAAAAAATGTTTGGAAAATCAAAGTGGAGTTGTTGATCTATAATCGGTAAAAAGGGTGCAAGTATCACGATATATTGCCCAGGCTCAGAAAATAGAACCGCAGAATGTTTGCTTTTCGTGGTAGTTGTGTGGGGTATCATATAGTCTGCCCCGTCCGACTATACTGCTCCGCTCACTTGTTATATATTTATAAGCAAGGATCTGGAAAAGTGAAAAGTAACGTACAAATGCCTATTACTTGTCTTTGGGGACCCTATCTAAAAAAACCCAAATTTCCTCTTGTGAGAAAAACATGATTGAAATTCTCAAAATATCTAATAGCGGGGTCAATTTGAGAGAAGTAAAGCCTCCTAAATACTGTCGTTAGCCCTAAACTTAGAAAAAGTTTGGAGAGTACACACTTCTGGGTGTACTCTCCGAACTTTTTCTAAGCCACATACCTGAGAACGAGTTAATACAGAACGAGTTAATAGAAATAATTGGAGAATACATCCAGAAGCCTATTGTTGAAGAAGTGAAAAGTGTCGGGTTTAGTGGATGAAACTATATAAGTATAAGGTTTTTGACAAGGTAACTAAACAAGTCAAATAAGGTTTCCCTTGCTACGTGGAATTAGAAGGATTAACAGGAAAGGATTTTTCGACCATCATAATAAACACAATAATCAGTTTGGCGCGTCTAACAAGTCAGGCAATTATAATGAAGTGCAGACCATTATTAAATAAAAATTCTTTTCTGCGGTATACATTCATTGTTCTTTTTGCATTTAAAAATAAACTTTAAATGCAGCTTCGAAGATTTCGAGAAATTCAAAGTATATTTTCTACAATTTTGGAAATTTGCTCATTTCATAGAAAGTCTAAAAATGCCTGCTATTTTATGTGGAATATTTCTAGAAGCAAATAAATCCTTCATACGACTACGATTATATTATGCTGGGTTGAGCAGCATAATTGCGTACAAATATTTAACGAAACTATAAAACATAGAGTAGAATCGTTGGAAAAATAGGGGAAAATGGTAAGTTTTAATTTGGATTTATTTCTATGATGTAGAAGTTTCAGTGCCAAGAAGAGTTGGTACGCAAAAGTACAGGTAATGAGTTCGAATTCCGAATATTTTTGGAAAATGAAAAAAAGATATACAATGAGAACTCAGAAATACAAAATTATATCCAAGTTGGTTCGAAAACGTTATCGATGTATTCCATTTGCAATACGAAACACTACATCTTACGGTGGAGGGTATAAAAATAAGGAAGAACCAAAAAAAACGTGGTCAAATTCGACCTTAACTCCATTTTATACCCTCCAGCATGTTGCGTAATTCAACATATCTTTAAAACATTTGCTGGGAAGAACTATTATTATATCGGGGATATTTCAAAACATGGATCTTTAATGATAATTTTGTGCCAACCACTAAATACCAAATTTAGTCCTTTTCGGGAAAATTGAAATATGGGGATAGGAAAAAACATAAAGCAATAACGAACATATTCTGTGCAGATGTATGCCATCCTCCAAAACCCCGCAATACTAAATAAGGACTTTTTGATTAAAAAATGCGAAATCTGAGCAGTAGCGTTACATGGAACTATACGTGAACCGATATACCCCATTCGCAATACCAAACATCCTGGGAGTAATATCAATGTCAGTGACCAATTTAAAAGAATTTTCTTAAATATTACGACCTCTATCGTGATTTTAACAGATAAACATTGCTAAATGGGTCCCCGACATTCGACCTTGTGTCGCACAAGGACTCGACATAGATAGAGGATATGTTTTACAAAGATATAACTCATTCGATTTAATTGAATACATATCAAAAATAACCTGAAATCGCCTCAAACAAAGATATAAACAACTTTCGAGTTTCGAGTAAAATTTTCTACATCTCAATAACTTGACCTGTGACGAATTTCTTCTTCTGGGCTCTTTATTAACTATCCAAGGACTTTACACCCCCTTTGTTTGCACAATGTAATTGGCATTCCGAATTCTTTGTGGGTATGAAACTTATCCACATGAAACAGTCGCACAGTGGGAAAAAATGCAGATCTAGCGCGCAGAAAATAAAAGTAGATGTTTTACTGTATGTTTGTCGATATTTTGGATAAGAATAGATTTAGATGGACAATTTTAATTATTTTATGAAAAAATTTGGCAATTTTTTTATTAACCAATTAAGCGCCGATTTTTTTAGAAAAAACTTAAATTCTTAGGTGAAAATTACTATTTTGAAGCATTTGAAACATTTTATAATAAGCAAAATTTTTCGTTATATCTAATAGTACTCCCAAAATGGAAGCTTCTTTTAAAA